AAACAGAAATGTCACAAAAACTGCATTTTATACTACTAAATACTGGAGAAGGTCTTGTACTGTAATAACTTTCTCAATGAACGACTATATATCTCCTTTACAGATAGTTGGGAAGGATTCTAGAGTACTCTTTATTGCTTGATTTCAAGAGATTAGGTACTAATTTTTATGAATTATGTTGTGAAAAATAATTATAAAACATATATAGCTTTTTTGCTCCTATGAGATTCAAAGGATTAAAAGCATTTAAAATTTTTATCTTTACACAACTGATAAATTTATCTTAAAAGTAGTAGTTGAGAAATGAAAAAATTTTTCAATTTTCATCTCGAGAATGTTCTTCATTATGAGTGCCATAGTACAATATTATTCCAGATATGAGACGTTAGTAAGACTTTTATGACAAAGATTTTAATCTTTATTACAAATGTACGAAAAGTCTTAAATCAAGTCCACAACACCCAAACTTGCCTCGATCAGAGTATGTCATAAAACTGTAATAAAAACTGAAACATACGTCGAATGAACCTTATCAGCATTATGTTTCGCAGAAGATGTGTATACATGAGCATAAGAGAAGATATTCACATTCATCAATGAAAATGGTAAACTTGAAACTATGAGTACAAGTACTCATTAGAATAACATTTAAATTCTGACAATCATATACTTACTAAAGTGTGTATTTATTCAAGTATCATCAAAGTGGCAGATATAATAACAGTCGATATGAATAATAGCGAGAAACTTGACATCATTGTCTTTGAGGACTCTTCAAAGGTTATTGTTACTTTTTTTGTAATGTTGGCAATGTGATATTTACTACTGAAATAATTATTCTAACTAATTTTGAAATATACCGTATAACTATAATCGATGCGAATGGTGATAATAAACTAGGTTTTATTTTACTGAGCATTCTTCAAGTAAAAAGAAAAACTTTATTATTCGCTTCAATAAGAGTAATAATCTGTTCAATCATCAAATGATGTATTCAAATGTTTATGAATCCTATAGTTTGATAGTAGCTGATTTAACCAATGATAATATTATTGCACTTTATCTCAATAGAAATATTACTGATGCTTTTTTCAAAATTGGCAGGAGTACTTTTGATGATTGAAGGATCATTTTTAGATAAATTCGTTACAAATTCTGTAAGCGTAACTGATATAAATACTGGTAATATTTAAATAACTACAATCATACGTTTATTTATTAATTCATATATTCAATTCATTTTCAATACTATTTGCTGGATCTGGAAGATGTTATAAGGATGAGACACAATTCTCTCTTATTACTAAGAGAACAAAATCAGTATCCATTTCAACATAAGTAATGGTACATTTACAAATCGAACATTCTTTGCAGTTATTGATTTACTAACACTTGCAGAAGCAATTGATATCAATGATGATGGGAGAGTCTAAACCTTATCGGTTTTGATTAAAGAAAAAGAAAAAACGAAATATGTTTGATGAAATAAAAATTTTTTCTTTTCAACGTCTATCTGATATATTCTCTCTTCTTGTCTTGCTGACACACATTTTATTGTCATATGTCGTATAATATCAATAAAATGTAGTTTAACAAACTGAGACTTAGATAAAAGTATAAGTATTAGTATGTAATAGATAAGAAGAATGATAAGAAAAATTTTGTATCTTTCTTCAATTACATATAATTTTTACCGTATTAATAATATTGAATTCTGTAAGGATTGCACCATATAATGAAAGTGATACGATAATTACAATAAAGACAATCAATCACTTTGAATGTTTATTAAGAAGACGCTACTCCTTTTCTGCAGTAGTACGTCAAGTAAAGGTCTACGAAAATTTCTAAAACTTTTCATGTTGACAAATTTTGATTAGTAGAGTGTAAGTTGCGCAAAAAGTGAAATATACCAAATGCTTTCTGATCATAGATTTGGATGGAGGCAGAAGAGCATAAGAATGAAAATATATTCACAATTTTCTTCTGGCTTACGACAACTCACACTTCTTCATTTGTGAAAAAATACTATAATTTTTTTTCTGTAAAAGAAAATAGAAAAACGATTTTTGCATTATTATTCTTTGTGTTCAAAATTGTTCCTATATTTTAAGCATGAAAAGATAAGCAAATGTTGTCATCCGTTAGAAGACAGTTGAGGTTATATTATGATCGCAAAAATCTTACAATTAAAAATTTTGAAATTCTTGAATGCAGAAAGAAGTTCAATAGTCTTTGATGGAAATGTTTTCAGATTTTGAAATATTTGATAGAAATAAAATGTATTGTTATGTGTCATTTTGAATTTTTTAATCAAAGAAATTGTATGTACACAAAGGTATTATTGTTTAATGATGTTTTAATTTACAATATTTTATGTACATTTTGAAATTTAATTTTTGAATATGATTTTATTTCTAAAATTATTTAAAAAACTATTGAAATTATTCTTTTAGATGTTAATCTGATGAATAAATTAAATATTTATAATTTTATGACTAGTATTTATGAGAAGAAAAAAATATTTTTCTTGCCATGTTTGAATTCTTCTTACATATGTTAATTTTCAAATGTTTTTTTTTAAAGTTAGATTTTATTCTATGGATTTTAAAATTGCTTTCATAATTTAATTTTCTTTTGTTTTTCTTCATGCTGAAAGTTGACTCTTTTAGTTCTTTATTAAATCATATGAATAAAAAATTTGTTTGATTCTTTTTTTTTCTTCCCTCAAATTTCTACTTTTTGCGTACGATTGTCAAAATGAGCCGACTCAAATTTTCAATTTCATTATAGATTTTTCTGTTGTCACATCAAGGAACTCGTCAATCAATGTGAGAATGTCATTCTATTGTTGTGTCTTCTATTTTTCTTTTTTTGTTTTTAATCACTATCGATAGACAGTTTTTTGCTTGTCTTATTCCATAAAAAAAACTGCTTCAGGTTTTCTTTTTTTTGAAGATTTGTTTGCCTACCACTGCAACCATTGTTGTTATTGGACAAAAGGAAAAAAAAATAGAAAAGAGATTTTTTCCTGTTCGAATAGGTTTTTTTTTGCAGTGTGAAATCAATCATACAAAAAGGAACTCGCAGAGGTAAATCAATTGAATAATAATGAATTTTATTATGACACGATTTGAGTTTCTTTTTTTCGATATTGAATGTGCAAGAAACAAAGACTTTCTCTTAAATCATATAAAAAAATTCGAGGAAAAAAGTCTTCTGCATCTTTTTATGAGTTAGAAATCATAATTATCAAGGAAAAAATGTTTGCGCATTATGCTGTTTATTTCTCATAGATTATCATTCGTACATGGCTAGTAGTTTAGATGAACGAAATGATCCATTTGTTGATCTTGAATATCGTATGACAAATCCAAAATTTACACAAGATGTAGTTAATCGAAATACAGGTATAAATATACTAAGTAGACAACCAGTATCAAAAGCTGTACAATTGAAAGCAGAAAATTATGATTTATGGTTTCAAAATGAGCGTTTAACCGAAGAAAATGGTGTATTAGGTACTGAATTGGGTAAATTGCAAGATAAACATGATAAATTAATGTATTTGGCACGTAATCGTCTTGGTGAAATACGTTCAAAATATCAAAAACTTGAACAAGATAATCACACATTAAAAACTGAATTCGATCGATTAATACGTGAATATGAAACAACAAAAAGATTGATTGAAGATTATCGACGTATGGAAGAACGGTAAATCGAAATAAAATTTCTTCTATTTTTTTTTTGAAAATTTATATGCATTCTTTTCTCCATTAAATAGTTTTAAAGTAGCTGATCGTGAAATGCGTTTAATGATCGATACATTAACACATAATAATGAAGATCTAAAAGTACAAAATCAAACATTAATCAACGAACTTGAATTACTAAAAGAAAAATATTATATAGCTAAACAAAATTTAGAAAAATCTATGCACGATGCAACATTATTTAAAGAAGAATTAACTAAAGCTGTTTATGCTCGTGATTCACTTGAAAAAGAGAGTGCTCGATTAAATGGAAAAGTAAATGAATTAAGTGCTGGTAAAAAATCAGCTGAAGAAAAATTAGAATTATTAACTGGTCGAACACATAATTTAGAAGTTGATTTAAGACGGTAAATAAATAAGTCAAAAATAAAACACTCAATATAACTTTAAATAAATAAAATATCTATTATTTTTAGTTCGGAAGCTAATGCTGCAATGTTACTCGAACGTTTTACTTTAGTACGAAATGAACGTGATGCACTAGATGCTGATAGTAAAAATAAATTAACAATATTAATACAAAAACTTAAAGACTTTCAAATACAAAATAAATCTGCTATGGAACAATTACATACACAAAGTAAACAATGTGATCATTTAAATGGTGAAAATAAACAATTACTTGAATATGTTGTATGTAAAACAAAAAAACTTCGAATGAAAATATATTGTTTATTTGAAATTTTAGAATGGTTATCGTAAAGAAAATGATCTTCTTGCTAAACAACTTGTTTCTGTCAATACAAAACAAAAACGTTTAGCACTCGAACTTGAAAGTTTAAAATCAGCTGATGCTTTTATGAAAAATGAAGAAGCTATGAAAATGCAAGATGCTTTAGTCGGTTTAACTGATCAATTAACACAATTACGTAAAATGCATGCTCATACACTTTCTGAAAATCAACGTATTAAAGAATTATTAATTGAAAAAGATTCGGTTTTAACTAGTTTGGGTTATGAACGTCATCAATTACAAGATAAAATGATTAAAAATGAACACACCATTCGACAAATGGAACGAATGTTAGATGGAAGTGTTGTAGCTAAGCGCTCACCATTAGATACACGAAAAACAATAACAAATAATGCATATTCATTCGAGAACGTCCTTGAATCTTGAAGATCTTTGTACTTATGCGTGTGAATGTCATTCTAGACTTTTCTTTTCATGTTCTTTTTCTTGTATACAAAAGAAAAATGCAGTTTTATTAGAATAATGTTGTCATGCTTTCAATGGATGTTGGTTTTTTTTTGTCGGCTGACAAGATATCAACAGAGAAAAAAAAAACAATGATTATCATGCAAGTCAATAGTGACAAGGCTCTTCGTTGTGAAAGATATGATATGGATACAGATAAGCAAGAGTATATAACTTGCAGAAAATTCTAATTGAATTACAGTTTCACTTTTGTTTCATACAACTAAGGTAAGTAAAAAAACGAAATAAATTTAAGTGTTTGGTTCTGAAGATAATATTTTTATCTCAATATAGATGCAAACTATTTCGGTTCTCGCCATTCTTGCACTCGCTTTCAGCTGTACATTAGCTTATGATGTTACATTTAGTCAACATTGGAAATTATGGAAAGGACTTCACAAGAAACACTACTCCGATGCTGAGGAACATGTTCGGTATGAAAAAACAAAAATTATTCGATATGTCTAAAACCGAATTATTATTATTATTATTATATGAATTTTTAGTCGTGCTATATGGGAAAGTAACTTGAAGAAAGTTCGAGAACATAACCTCCAAGCTGATCTTGGCGTACATACATATTGGCTCGGAATGAACAAATTTGCCGATATGGTAAATTTCTTTTATTTTTTTGCATGCCGTACGATAAATATTCATACAAGTTGTTGTTAATATTGAAAATAGACCGTCGGTGAATTCGCTAAAAAAATGAATGGTTACAATATGACCATGCGAGAACAACGCACTCAAAGCCATCGCACATTTACAGTCAATCCAGGTTTTCAATTACCAGATACCGTTGGTATGTACTCAGATTGCTTGTCATTGTTTATTATTGTATAAAAAATTGTATTTATCTTCGTCTAGACTGGCGTACAGAAGGTTATGTTACTGATGTTAAAGATCAAGCTCAATGTGGTTCATGCTGGGCTTTCTCAGCAACTGGTTCACTTGAAGGTCAACACTTCAAAGCAACTGGAAAACTTGTTTCACTTTCTGAACAAAACTTAGTTGACTGTTCAACTGCACAAGGTAACATGGGTTGCAATGGTGGCTTAATGGACCAAGCTTTCGAATATATCAAAGTAAACAATGGTGTTGATACCGAAGATTCATATCCATATGAAGCTATGGATGATCAATGCCGATTCAAAAAAGAAAATGTTGGTGCTACAGATACTGGCTATACTGATGTTCAATCAAAAGATGAAAGTGCTCTTCAAACAGCTGTTGCTACTGTCGGACCAATCTCAGTTGCCATTGATGCTAGTCATTCATCATTTCAATTATATAAACACGGCAGTATGTAGTTCTTCTTAAGTTTTTAATTTCTTATTTTAATCCAAATCAATTTATTTAGTTTACAATGAACCATTCTGCTCACAAACACGACTTGATCATGGTGTCTTAGCTATTGGTTATGGCACAGACTCTGGCAAAGCTTACTGGCTCGTTAAAAACAGGTAATTATTATATTTATGTTTTTTTTTATTGATTATCTGATCGATTATGTATTATTATAGCTGGGGTGTAAGTTGGGGTGATCAAGGTTATATCAAGATGACACGTAACAAACGCAACCAATGCGGTATTGCCACAGCTGCAAGTTATCCAACTGTTTAAAGGCACAATTCGACTTTTTTTTTTTTCTATTCTTCTTTTTCTTCATGCTATCTTCTATTGTTTTCCAATAATAATTATAATAACATCATAACAATAAAAAAAAAGAAAACACTATATATATATAGATAGATAGATATATCTAATTATTCATTCATAGACGAATGTCAAAGCAAGACACAAGAGATATATTATATATACATTTTTTCTTCAATAAACAAGTTCCATTGAGATATATCTAATTGAAATTTGAATGGGTTTTATCATTGAGAGTGATCAAAAGCAAATAGAATAAATTTATTTATGTATTATTTGAATGAAACAATTGCCAGCGGACGATAAAAGAGGAGAATTCTTCATTCATCAACAATATTATATTCTCTCAATAGGTTTTCTATTTATTATTTTTGAATAAAAAAATATCTAAGCGGCATATACTGTTTTATTGCTCTTCATCGCTTAGGAACGACTCGTAAATGCCAACTAGAAAAAATAAAAAGGAACCGGAACTTCGGCCTCCCGTGATTATCAAACAGTAATAACAATTGCATTATTCATATATATATATATATAGATAGATAGATATATATATATGAAAATGTCTGTAAAACTTCTCTCAGTAGAAAAGAAAGAACAAGTTATAGAAGATTAATAATAAAAATCGACATTATCTTCAAATATTGAGCTAGATATCTTTTTTTTAAATTTTCATTTCAACAATTTGTTCAATCATACTGAAATCGAATTAGTGAGCTGTCTATCGATACAAGCTTTAGAATAGCGAGAGAAAATAGATTTTTCCTGCATGCGAAATAGAAACGACAATAAATGCAATTACTAATCTAGTACGTGCATACGACTGACAATCATTTTCTTTCCGAACTACTATATCTCTGATATAATGACTGCCAACTGGACACTTGATCATAACGATTATTCACCATTTGGTTCGGATGAACATATTTCAATAGCTGAATATCGTTCACTTATAATTACAATATTTTTCTTTTTAATTGGCTTATTTGGAAACCTTATTATATTAATTGGTAATGGATATATTCTTCGACATTCAATTGATGGTGAAAAGCGTACATTTGAAAATTTTCTTGTTGAAATAGCATGTTTCGATTTAATTGTACTTTTTTATCATTTAATTAATTCAATTATTCGTTATAAAGCATTACCAGAAAGTGATGTTCATACAATGACTGGTTTAATTAATATATCAACTGTTTGTTGTAAATTATTAACATATATTGTACGAATTTCAACACTTATGTCTCATTGGTTAATTATTTTATTATTACTTAATCGATTATTTCTTATTTATCCAACATTTTATCGACTTATAACAATTGTTAATGCAAAATATGCTGTGTAAGTATTAAAATTTCAAGAAGAAATATTTTTAATCAATCGAAATATACTAGTTGATTTTTAAATTTTATTTTTTCCATTTTCTAAATTTAATACAAATGGATTAAATTTTTTTTGTCATTCATTTTAATTCAGAATTCTATTGAGTGTAATAATTCGAATAAACTACTTAATTTATTATTTTGAATGCAAAACATTGAGCACTTTTTTCCTGGATCATTGGAAATTAGTTATTAGATTAAAAAAAAAATATTCATCTACATGGGAAAAAAAAACATGTCTCTTTTTTGAATGAGCAATATATTAGTATTTAACAGTAAACGATCTTTTCTGACACGATATTGAATATGAAAAATAGATAACAATCTTAACAATTTTTCATAGTCAACATTGATTTCATATTAATATACAGAATGACATGAAAGTAATGAATATTCTTGTATGAAATTTACCATAGCTAAATAACATTTATGATTGATTGACACAAACATTTGTTCATGTGAATAATATTAGTTAGCAGAAGTCTATTATTTTTTGTAATCTAAATATTATTTTTGGAAAAATTATTTTTTCGATAATTTTCTTATTTCTTAGTATTTTTTATTGAATCAAAAGATCTAAGTGGATCATAATACTATATAAGAAGATTTTTATTAATTATCTCCTTAATCAGAAAATATAATTTTTAAGCTGTTTCTATGAAAGAAAAATAGAGTAAAACTTACTCCACAAAAGAATCACTATTTCTATGCAACTATAATGTACTCCATTGCTTTTTGAGTAAATTTAGAATGCAAATAACTACAGATCTCAAGTTTTCATCATCCGATAGAGCAAAATGAAGAACATAAACCTATGTAAAAGTTTGTAGTAAAATGTCTCTATTCTTGACATTTAACCCGAAAAGACAATTGAATCAAGCATCAGGTATACAATAGATAATGCCTTTGAATCAATTGAATTTAATAAGATAAAATATTCAAGTTGTTCTATTTCAAAAAGTAGGACATTCTGCCACAAAACAAAAACTTGGATAAGTTTATTATCAAGTAACAAACATGTATCTTGTTTAAGATATTGATTTTTACATAGAGTCACGTCCGTTAATTTGTGTTTTCCCAATGGTGAAAAATGCAAATCTCTAGCTACTTGCATTCTAGACTTATTCAATAAAACAATGGAGTAAATTATATTTCTAGATGAATAATTTATACATATATATTGATCTTGTTTGCTTGTGTATAAAAACAAAAAAATCTTTTTTCTCTTGTATTTGATATCTATTAACTTTTATTATTTTTTTTTACGAAATATTAAGATAGTTTGTCCATCATATCTTCTAGAATCTGAGTCGAATTACACATAGGAATGAACCATTTCCATTTTGATTTTAAAAAATTGTCGATTTTGCTTATGTCTAGAGAAAACTTCTATTTCAATAATAATCCATGTCGTACACTTGTTTGCACTACCGTGGTATTCGTAGGAACCGGGCAGTAGCACTTATGACTTACAGTTTCAGCTATAAATAATTTTAGAAAGTGTTTTCTATTCAAATTCAATTTATTTATTAGAAAGAACTCAAATTAATCGAGAAAGAAACAGTTGCAGAATATACATTACTAATATAAAATTTTACAGCGTCATCTATAATCAAAGTATATCTCATGACCAAGACCGGTTTGGGCTTTGTGGTTAGTATAGGTTGCTCAGATACATCAACATTACTTCCGCGGAACGAAATCAACTCAATTCTGTTAGTTTTAATAAACTTCAAAAATATTGATATCTGTTTTGATACAATATGTCATGATACACACTTTCAAAACAACTATAGCGCACATTATATCGGTGATAGTTTCTCATTGCTATAAGTTTAAATCGTCAGATTATAAAACTTTTCTTCCTAAAACAAGTTACGAGGACCTTTCATTTCGATTAAATCAATTATTTTCTTATAATAATTTAAGATAAATATTTATATTTATTTAGTCTTGGTTTACTTTTTCTTTTTACTCTTTTTAATGTTCTACCAATTGAATCAATGTCTTATAATTTACCACTTTTTCATTTATCAAATTCAACAATTAATATAACACTTTATCGTCATTGTTTAATGAATGCTGAAATGATCGATTTAGAAACATCAATACATTCAACTGCTGTTATTATAAATGTTTTTTTTTATACGGGTATTGGTCTTATTTTACCAACAATAATTATTTGTATACTATCAATATTATTATTTCAAAAAGGAGCACATCTTTGGAATGAATTACGTTCTCATCATTCTGAAACCGAAAATATTTGTTTAAGATCAAATTCTCCAATTGTTGAATATCTTCGTACATATAATGCAGCATTTACACTTGGTATTATATTTGTATTTCTTTCAATACCATGTAAATTACTTCGTTTAATTGTTTTATTTGCATCAAATGATATTGATGAATCAAAATCATCAAATCATATACTTATACAAGCTCATGCACAAATGCAAACAGTTGGTCATGCATTTGAACTTTCACTTTATTCATATAAATGTTTTATATTTATTTGTACAAATCATCGTTTTCGTTGTGCATTAAAATATTTATTAACTTATCATCGTAGTCATGTTATTATGAATGAATATCGACCATCAATGGATATTGGTTATGAACATAAAATCATACGAGCAAGATCATCACAAGAAAGTGTACCATTTGAAGGATTATATACACATTTACAAAAAAATGAATTTGAATCACCAATGAATATGTATACAACTGGTTTGACATCAGAATTACATAGTCATCGATCAAGTTTTAAAACACGATCAAGTGTATCTAGTCGACGAACAAAAGAAGATGAAATATCACTTTGAAAGTCCTTTTTTTTTCTTTTTCTTGTATATTTGTATAGAAATTGTAGATATATGTGAGTCAATTATAATTTTATTGTATCATTTTAAGAAAATAAAAGAGCGAAAATAATTTTCTGATTTTAAAGATAATGAATTGTGTGTTACACTGTATTATATAGAAAAGAAAAATGAAGAAATTTTCTGGAGTATCACTTTCAAGATGGCTGAGATATGCAAATATCGTTCAAAACAACTTGTTCACACGTAAATTGAAAGAACTCCCGGAATACAAAAGTTTCGCAAAATGCATTTTCTATACTGATGATTATATGTAGAAAAAACTTTTGTTGAGATTCAAAATATGATAAATCTCTACTACATGAACCTAATCATGTATTAATGTGATGTCATTGTACTAAATGACTTCTTTAAGTCGCAAATCAAAATTAATTGATGCCTATTTTAGTAGCACTTAGAATAAGAAATACATTAATTTATAAAATATGCACTCTGACTTCAAATGTGAAATAGTATGCACGTTGTAATCTCGCGTGACATCTTAACACTAATCTTTTTTTTTTTGTTTTTCTCATGAGCTAAAAGTTTTCTAACGATAATATTTTCATTGGTAGTTGATCACAATGAAAGAATAAAATCATTAAAATTTCATTGCAAACATATCATACTTTTGAAGAATTCTATAAGTGAGACATAATGAAAAATTTCGTATGACATTTAACAGAAAAATTAAATTTTTAAGTTTGGTTTCATAATTTTTGTAAACAAGAAATAATACAAGTTTCTGATCTTGTTTTTTTTTAAAGATTTTATTCTTCATTTACTGACTGTTATTCAATATTGTTTCGAACAGTTTTAGATGATTTGTTCAATCTCAGAATTATTTTTAATCTTGCGTGATAGATAATCGAACGATGACTAAATATTTGATATTTAGAAAAAGTTATAAGAAAATTCGAATGCAAACTTCTATTAGCCTTATAGGCAAAAGTTGTCGACTGTTTGTTATAATTTCACCAATGTGTGAAGTTAAAACAGAAAGAAAACATATCACTTATATGACATGCTCTAACTGTAAATGTTAGTAAACATCAATAGTTCAGACCTTGTATGGTCATTTTCTTGAAATTCATTCAAGATAAATTGAAGACTTTTCTGTGTGTTAGTGAAGATTTATTAAAAGAACTTAATCTGAAAAAAAAAATCATAAAGATTGATAGAGAACAACTCAAGATATTGATCTTTTATATATTAGAATATAAGAATACAATAAATTTGCAATTCATTTATGTAAATATATATATATACAGAGTGTCACAAAGTCGCTGTATAAAAAGTTTGAATATCTCCCTTAAGGTTCTATTGGATGAACTAGTTTTTGTATTGATAACAGAAAACACTTGAAAGTTTCTATCCAAATATTCAAAGTTCTGAAATATTTCTAGAAAGTAGTACTTTTTCGACTTTCGAAAAACAGTATGTAGAGTTTTTTATTATTATTGTGGGCTTTTCAAGAGGGAACAAACTGATCTCTCTCATAGTGAGTGAACAGGAACGATTGAAAATGCTTAGAAATGAAGAAAAATCACAAAAAATCAAGTCTCTACTTTTAATTTTATTACTAAAGATTTTCTATGATTTCTCATGGTTTCTGGTAATTTTTAATCACTTCTAGTCATTATTCGTATTCTTAAGATGTTAAAGTGATTTCTAGCATAGAAATCAGTTTATTTCCCCCTTAGAGTCTCTAACCATCTAGGTCTTTTTCTCTTCCTTTATTAACATTCATTTGATACTTCTACAAAAATTAGATACATTGATCTCAAATTTGATAGCTATGAAATCTCTAAAACAGTGTTAGTTTACTCAATGCACCTTCTATCAAAGAGTTTTTTGATAGGAGAGAAAAGACAAATCGTTTCGAAGAAACGCATAAATTATTCAAGTCTTTTCAGAATGATCAAATGAACGTTTATAACGAAAGAGATCTAGATAGTTGAAGACATAAAATAATGAAGAAATAAAGGAAAAACTCTACATATTGTTTTTCGAATAGTCGAAAAAGTACTTTATCGTGTATTGAATCTGAAAGTACTACTTTGTAGGAATATTTAAGAACTTTGAATTATTCTCTATCACCAATACAAAAACTAGTTCCTCCGTTAGAATCATAAGAAAGATATTCATATTATTTTTTTGTATAGTGACTTTTCGGACATCCTATATAAATATCCATTATAATGATACTTTCAATGAAATTCTTATAGAGAAGAAGCAAAAAATATTGGCTATAGAATAAATTTAACTATCAGTTAGAGCTAAAGAGATCTAATGAGATTTTTCATAATATTCTATGATTATTGTTCTACATAGAAGTCAATATTTAGCAGCTAAGTTCTGATCATCATGCGAGTACATGGAGTTCTCGCTTTAGTAACACACGATTATATAAAAAAAAATAATAGAAGTGTTACTTGATGTCGCATGTTTCACTGAAACACACTTGAAGAATGCTTCTCGTATACAAATTTTTTCTGATAAGCACATGAATGATCTTACATATTGTTTCGTTTTGATAAACAAACAAACATTGAAAATATTTTAAACAATTTGGGTATTCACATGACTAAAAATAATTTTCTCATAAATATGTGTGTTTTGGAAATTTTTTTACAAATGATTGCTCTACAAGTATTCTAGATTTCTATTTCTATTCATAAATAAAAAAACAACACGAGAAAATTTCTAGAATTTTATGCTAATACTATAAAATATTTTCTTCTTCATTTCCATGTTGTGCACATACTTTTAGAATTCATCTTTGATCATTACCATGTAATTTTCCTTATTTTCTGTAAATGGCTGAAGCTTTTATCTATTAACTTATGAGAACAAACAGTTTCGAACTGTATTTGTCTTCTTTAACAAATAACAATTTTAGTAGTTTCTTTTTCGATTATCATACAGTTTACTTATTCTTTCAGTTGTCATTCCTATAATTACAGTCGATCAAATAAAATTTTCGTTTCTTCAACGATCAACTAATTCTATTCAATAGAAAACTTTAATCATTAAATGAAGTATTCGAAAAATTTATATCCATGATAAAAAAGATCTTAAAAAAATATGTTTGTTTTCGTCCATTAGACTTGAAATAAATGCAGTCGATAAATATTTTTATGTTTATTTTTATTCATCATATTTAAAAAGAAAACAGAATTCTTTCTACTATTCATCATATTTCCTTTTTAATAAATTGTCTCTCTATTATGAATGTTGGTGTTACCTTTTTTTCTTCAACAACTATGTGTATTTTTGAAGAATAGGAATAAAAGCCTTCTCTTGTATAGCAGATTGCAATGCTTTTTTTAAAATGTACTAAGAAAAACATATATACTTCTTTAATTAACGAATAATTAATCATTATACTAACTGAAAGCACCTACACCAAGATCTATAGACATTAACAAAAAAAAGAAATCTTTTTTTTTCTCTCAACGAAAAAGGTAAATGCATGAATATTTTTAAATAGGGCGTGTTAGTAGTAATAGGCATACAAAACGGAAGGAGAAAAAGCATGAAAATGTTTTACTATTAAAAGCATACACTTTTTCGGTCTTCCTTTGGTATTATAAAAGCGAAGACAAAAGCTCATGGTAAAAGAGAGAGAGAGAGAAAAAAAAGATGTGCACGACATTGTATACATTCGAAGTTTTACAAACATTATAAACGAAACTTTGTTCTTTCTCTCTCTCTCTCTCTCACACTTCATAATTCTATCTATAGAACGTCGTAAATGTCATTGGTGAATAGTATTCAAAGAATAAACAAGCAACAGATGGTTTATCATTAAGCTTAAGGACTAATTAGATAAAACAATTTATTATACAATAGTTACAAATGGCTAATAATACTATTAGGATGATGTCGTATGCCAATAATGCTACAAGTAATGCATATTAAAAGATCATCTATGATAAACATAGAATTAAATAGCAAGGAAAAAAAAAAAAGGAAGACTATTTTCTATTTGGATTAAGATGAAAAATTCTTTGTAAATTTTCTGATTGAGAAAAAATTCAAAATTCATTAACACAATAAAATTTCTAGATTGAGATTCTATCGAAGAATTGTATTACAAAAAAAAAAAAACAGATAGTTCTACATGAAATATTTCTATTTTTAATAGATTAGAAACATCTGTATATATTTCTTTTTAGTAACAACAAGATTATCAGCATGTAGTCAAATAATGAATGTAACCCAAACAATACAAGATGTATGTAAAGATCTTACAGTTCTGTCTCATTTTTTAATAGTAATTTTTTTTTTAAATTTATTCTAGCTTTATAATTTATATAAAAATAACAGTTCAAATTTAGTTTCAAGTGTATTTTATAATATTTCAATTATTAATTTCAAGTAAATTCTATCTTTGATTTGATTTAATTTCATATATGTTTTTTTTTTTTTTTGTAATATTAGTTGTACAACGCCATTTGGTAAATATTTTGAACAAATTATAATATTTACACGATCAGTATCGATTCGTATTCAAGTAGCATTAGGTATAAAATAGACAAAGAAAATTTTTGATTTTTTAATTGAAAAGTATATTTCTTTTTTTTTTTAAGTTTCAATTTATTTTGATTATATTACTGGAAATAAATTTTCTATAAATGGTTTAAATGGATTTTTCATTGAACGAGAAAGATCAATTTCTCTTTCATCAATCAGTTTAAATTATAGTAAGTCATCTATATTACTTGCATTACATATCAGAGATCCAAACAGGCCTAGTCTATTTCTTTATATACTGATGGTATGATCAGAATTCAATGTCAGTAGAAGATTGTCTTTATAGAAGAAAAAAAAAGCAAGAAAGTCATATATATCGAAATGATATTACTATATAAAACATTTATTGACTTTTTTTGTATAATATATATCTGTCGAGAATAGATAGAAAAAGAATTGTTTTTGAACAAGAACATTTTGAATTTATGTAATGAACTAGTGAAAGAGAATTTATGAAATCCTACTGTATGATGACACTATAAATGACAGTTGCCAGTCAGGGATGCCTCATTTTTGTTTTTTTTTTCTAAAACCTTAATAATACATTGGAGCAATATGATTTTTTATTCATTAGATGTACTTCACACATAGACGAAGTAAACACTAACCTCTTGAATCATATAGAGTGATAAGAGCGATGTGTCTCAAATATTTACTTGATATCATATAGTTGAAGATATTTCATTTAGATTTTGTTTCCATAATTAAGTCTTGCCGTTGAGCACCTAAAATAAAATGAAGTATTATGAAATGAGTTTTATCAGCAAGAGCATAATTTAAAAACTGAACAAAAATATCATTTGATATTTTTACAAATAGGAGATTTCATCAAGCTAATATTAGACAATGCGCAAATAACACATGCAATTTTCGTTATCTTCTTAAAACCATCGATAGGTTCTCTATAGATACGGCCTAAAATAGAATAAGTTTGGATGTGTTGATTGATGTTTTCAATAGCAATTCTTGCGCTGGAAATATTCTTGTTGCAAAGTTTATCTGCTGCGGTCAATATATATGTCCGCAGCATTTCTTTCTTCGAGTAGTTACGTAGTTTTCATCAATATAACTATTATCACCTATTATTTGAACATCTTTTCCGGTATGCGTTAATAATCTTGATTCTCTTAAAATTGTGAGACCGTGTATACTGCTATGATAGCACTGAGACTCATTGTCTAGTCTTAACTTGATGAAATCTTCTATTCGTAAAAATATCAAAAGATATTTTTGTTCAGTTTTTAAATTATGTTCTTGTTGATAAAAAACGTTTCATAATACTTCATTTTATTTTAGATGTCCGAAGGCAGGACTTAGTTATCGAAACAAAATCTAAACGAAATATCTTCAACTATATGATATCAAGAAAATACTTGAGACATATCCCTCCTATCATTCTATATGACTTAAGAAGTTGGTATTTACTAGCTCTATGTATGAAGTACATCTGATAAAAAAAAATCATATTGTCCCAATGTATTATTGAGGTTTTAGAAAAAACAAACAAAATTGGGACATCCTTGACCGGCAACTACCAAACATAAATCAGAGGACGATAAGAATTACTAAACAATTTACGTAAGATAAAAATAATTATCTAACAGAAATTACAAACTGTATATCAGTGCAATAATCTAATAAATTAAATAAATAAATAGAGAATGAACAATATAATCACAATCAATTATTAGTTATGATTGTGTCTAGTCAAATATAATAATAAAAAGAAACATCATCTCTCATCTTTCAGTAGTAAACATATTCCACTGTATAACATTTCTCACTAGAAAAAAAAAAAGAACTTTTTATTGAAAGTTAGAAAAAAGCAAAACATGACAGATAAGTTCGATGACCTGTTTAGATTTTTCTGTCACAAATATGAATAGCGGTTGTATGAAAATTCAAAAGAAATTAGAGTTCCTATTGAAATTTGCTTGAGCTATTGAATTTTATCTTGCCACCATCTTTATTAGACGATCTCGCATATATTAGCTTACACGATGAGTTTCAGAGTTCGCAGAATCCGATCTATGAACTTTTCAAAGAGTAGTAAATAATCAAAAATATTTTGAAAAGTTCATTTCTCTGAGAGATGAAATCTGCGAACTATGAAACTCTTCATAAAAGCTACTGTATGTGAGACTTTCAAATAAAAATTGTGTCGAGATAAAGTTCAATAGTATCATCAAGTCTCAATAGGGACTCAAATCTTTTTAGGATTTTCACAAGAATACTATGTAGTATTTATAGGCAAAAAACAGCACTAAAATCAGAAGGAAGCATCTGAGAAAGTTCCCACGTTGGCGAACTTACGAATAAAATCGATTAAAATACATGACCGTTATCAGAAGAGTATGGAACAGAATGAATTAAGACATTGTGCAGTATTCTGACTCTTGACATTTTTTTAAGAGCAACATTGAGAGTATTTATGTATTATTAATTCGAAATATTGAAGCAATACATTTCAATTTTCTTCATTTATAGATGCCAAATTCGATTCTTGTTCGAGTATTGAGACAGCTCAAGATCCAGTTTGTCTACAGAACAGTTCAACACCTGTATGCATTAGTCGCTTTACAAATCCATGGATTTTCAATTGCAGGTTTGAACAAAAAAACAAAGTTTATTTAAAATAATTATTTTATTCATATTCTTTTTTTTTCCTCAAGTGAAATCTCTGTAACATCAACAATTTCTTCATTATCTACTATGAATAATGATGGATTATTATCAACACCAATTTTAAATTCATGGCAAATCAGTCTCATATGTAGTTTAAGTATATATTTCATAAAAGAATAAAATTTGAATTGATCTACATTTTTTTTTTCTAATATAGGTGGTTTTTTTCTATTAATTTGTTTTCTTCTTCTTGGATATTTTTGTCGACGTCGTTCACGTTCAAAACATTTTACTTTAACATCAGTAAATTTTTTTAATGATATAAAATCAATGCAAAAAAAGTACAAGAAATAAATTTCAATTATGATTAACAATATTTGTTTTTTATTTTTTTTTTTCTAAATAGTGGAATACCACTATGTCAAACTTTTCAAAGAGCTGCTACTATTGTACAACCTAAACAAAGAAATAATTTGACTGTTGCTTGGATTCATGATGGTATTAATGAAAAAAGTTATATCAATTTAAAACCAACTGAACTTTATAAGTAATATATATATATATATTAATTGTTTGAGATATTCATTAATTTTTAAGTTTTGTAGTCAACAAATATTTATTGATCATACTAAAATCCATGATCCAGTTTTTCATTCAAATATTTCTAAAAATTCTCTCAAACCTATTTATATTCCAAATGATCATATTAATCCATTAACATCAAAAGTACATTCAATAGCAATTATTTCTCGACCTGTATCTGAAACATCAAAGAATCAATTAAAATCAATAGTTGGTAAATATAGAAATATTTCATTTATTAATAATATTTTCAATTTTTAAAATTATTTTCAAAGATCAATTAGAAGAAGATAAACTTGATCCATCGGATAGTATTTCATTTCATCAATCAAATAAAACTAATCCAAAAAAATTGAGTATATCAATTTCAGGACAATTAGCAAATACTTTATCACTTGATGAAAGTTTACATGATGAAGATGCTTGGATGTCTATTTTAGATGTAGCTAACGCTGAAGTATGTATAATATATTCATATATATATATATATACATGTAAACCTTTATTTTCTTTTAGCTTGATGTACTCGATCGATTGGAAAATGAACAAGATCGGATAAAAACAATAGTGTAATAATAGAAAACTTTACTTAATCTTTTTTGATATATTGATGCTTTTATGTTTTTATAGATAGAAGTATAGAGTTTAAATAATCATAAAAATTTCTTAAAATTGTTATCTTTTAAAGTAAAATTTAATTTTTCATAAATATCTATTATTGTTTTACGATATTTTCGATCAGCAAAATATTAGTTTATGGATCAAAACTAATTAAAAACTGATAAATTAGATAATTTTTTTCTTTTCCAAACTTGTTTGAAAGATTAATTAAATGATTACACTTTTGCTTGCTAAATCAGATACTATATATTCTTTTTTTTCCTATTTCTTTGTTATCCTTGACACAATCAAACACAACTATCATTCTGTCCCATTAGACAAATGTCAATGAACCATTAAGATTGTCTTCTATATATGTAAATAATATTAGAATATTCTTATTTGATTTTAATATGCGCGTTATGACACGCGCGTTCGTGAGAAATTATTCAAAATGTATGGTTCGATTAAACACACAAACTGAATTTGCCGTGACTACATACTAAACATCGAGTGTGTTTTTCTATTCTGTCTATAAGCAAAATAAATCGGTGATTAAATGTTCGTATATATATATATATATATATTTTTTTTTGCAGAACGAACAATTTATCCATTATCTCTATTCTACATGTGTATTTCGTTTATTTGTTTTCATTCAGTTTAAGAATTAACACGTAGTGGTGATGACGGATTATGCAAATAAATATAGGTGCTAGACGAATGTTGTTGTTGTTGTTGTTGCTGTTGGTTATCATATGATGTGGTGATATCAGATTGAAATAAAGGTCGTTTAAAAAGAGGAATGTGTTCACTTTCTAATAATGATTGATACGTATTATCTAATTCATGTGCTGGTGTTATATGAGTTGATGTTGAATTAGTTCGTTTCATTATTGGTGATGATGATGGTGAAAGTGGAGAGACTAATCTATGTATAGGTGAAGATGATTTTGAAGAATTATTAAGTGATGAATGAATATTTAATTTGAAAGACTTTGGTGATGTTGAAGAGATTTTTTCAAATAAAGAAGTATTATCCATTGTTGTTTTATTATCGGATTTTGTTGAAGGTGCAGTTGATTTTGATAAATGCAAATCATCTTCATCCTCACATATATGATTGAATAAGTCGGATAATACAGGAAATGCTCGATGGCAACGATAACAGGTACGTAATCGATTAATATCATTGGCTAAACCTCCTGTATGAACAAAAAAAAAAACAAGCATAAACTTTTTTTTTTGTTTGTATAATATTCGTGAATTATTCTGCATCAATAAATATCCAAAATAACATATAAAAAAAAACACCAAAGCAATGAATGATAGAATCAATCACCAAATATTTGACTACTGCAAAGTGAAAATTATCGAAAATGATTAGTCAAGCAAAATGCATGATTTTATCTAACACTCCCATCTAGGTTGTTTTTTTTTTCTACAAAAAGTGCAACATACAATCACAAAGCGTACACCAATAAATAATAATCAATAATCATAAAAAACATGCTGAATCTATTTAATGATTATAAAAATGAGCAAGTGACGCTAAATAAAAAATCATAGTGTAAGTGTGAAAAGGAAAAAATAAATATCGAAAAGAAAAAGATGTCATGCAAACTATTTAACAGTACTAGGTCGTTGCATTTTATTACCGAATGATGATGATGATGATGTTGGAGGAGATTGATTATCAATATTAAGATTTCCTGACATTGGATTATAATATCGTTTATTTTCTGTTGTTTGTCGTTTCATCTCAAATTGTTTACAAAGTTCTTCATGATTAAGACAATCACTTAAACGAATATTTTGTTGACAATAAATACATTTTGTTGTATATACTCTTTCATGATCTGAACGATGACGACATATAGCTTCATGTTTTAAAAGATTTTCTATTGATGTTTGTGGATAAAAACAATATTGACATGTTTCTAATTTCGTTTTATTAGTTGTATTATTATTATCCATCGAATGTCGATCAAAACGATTATTATTCATTGTTGTTGGTTTTGTTTGTTGAAATATAAAATGTTCATCAATATTTTCTTCATCACTATCTTTATGATTAAAACGTGATGATGATGATGTTGCTCGTTTGATATCATGTCTAAATTTTGATGTTGGTGTTACATGATTAACAGGAATTTTTGTACGATTTGTTGATGTTGCTCGTTGTTGATGTGATGTACTACGTAAACGAGTTGGTGAATGATACCAAAATAAATCATCATGTAAAAATCGATCAAATAAAGATCGTGTTAACATTTCAAACATTATAAATGGATCATTGTCAAATGGCCAATCATGATTCCATTTTGATCGAGTTTTTCTTCGAAAATGATTTTGACTAGAATGAAATGTTGATGGAAATGAATCAAAAGGATCATAATCATTTTCATCATCTGATGATGATGATGTACCAAAATTAGTATCAAAAAATGAAAAATTTGGTGCATGAAATTTACGAGTAAAATAAGCATGTCGTTGATGAATATTAAAAAATGGATCATGAAAATGAAATCGAGATGAATTATTATTTGTTGATGTAAAATATGATTGATTTGATGTATGAAATGAAGAATCATGTTTATGTTGTTGTGATGATGATGATGAAGAATTTGTATTTGTTGTTTGTTGTTGTAAATCATATGTTCGACGTTTATCTGTATCACTTAATGTTTCATAAGCTTTATTAATTTGTTTAAAAATTTCTTCAGCTGTTGTAGATGAATTTTTATCTGGATGATATTGAAGAGCTTTTTTTCGATAAGCTTTTTTTATTTCCTCTTCAGTAGCTGTTGATTTAACGCCTAATATGGCATAACAATCACTAGCTACCATTGTCTACGTGCCTATTATTTCTTTACCAAGACAGATAATCACATTTATACATCTGAATAAAACAAAACAAATGATTTAATTTTCATTAATTGAATAATATTCATCAATCATCCAGAAATATACTGAAAAGGTAAATACTTACCCGAAGTTTTTATGTATTGGAGAAGGTTCTTTGATTAGTACGTAAGGTAGGAAAAAGATGAAACCGAATATGAATAAGAATGAAAGAAAAAAAATAATGTATGAAGAAACAAACTAGAAGACATAGACATGTATCTAAATACATCATATACTTATAAATCAGTTTAGTACTCGTCTGATTCTCACGATACGAAAATCAAGGCTCGTAAATAGTCAACAAATAACAACATGATTATCACGAGTATGTTTATGGGCGGGAGCTCAACGATACAATGATTGATACTTTATACTATTCTAAGCGACAAAAAAAAACAAATATAATGATAGTTTTAATAAGACAGACGTTATTAGAATAGAATACATAACACAAAACGATAGAACAGAAAAGAATATTATTGCCTATAAAACGGCAACCTACTGTGATAGTTAATGGGTAAACGGAAAGCGACGAGTAACCAAAAGTACACGGCGAAAGAAACGAGTTTATATAATAAAATAGTCATATATTATGATCCAATCAACCGAAGAGGGCGAGGTATAGCCGATAATCTAACTTTTTTTTATTATAATACGCATGTTTCTGTTATCTTACGGTGAATTCCTACTTTTTCATCAACCCAATTTTCGAGGTCAATCAAGGCATGTCCGTCGTCGGCTAATATAAACGACGTCTTGGTGACATTCCGTTCTTTTTTTTTTCCTATCCATTCTTGGTATAACTGCTGATGTAATATAGGCAAATAAATGAGAAGCAATACATCAAAAAAAAAAAAAGAAGAACACATATGTATATACATATTTTGTTCTCTTCTTCCTTTTTTTTGTGCTCTGTCCCTCTCTTTCTCTCTGCAAATGATTATTACACAATCGTTATATAAATTTTTTCGCACACATGTATATACAGATTGAAATGTGACACAAGATTGAGCTTGACAATTTTCAAGACAATGATCGAAGAAAAAAAAAAAAAAGTGAAAAGAATATTATTATTTGAACTACTAGGAAATTGAATTATATCAATGATGAAGTTGAATGATCAACTTACTCTTTGGCCAACAAATGAAAAAAAGATTCTTTTACTTGCTATTAACCGCATTTCAGCCTAGCATTTGTGGTGTTATTCTCCTCTTCCGTTCTTTATATGTTGTTGCGGCTAAGGTCGAACAAGTGAATGAAAGAAAGAATGAATGAATGAGAAAAAAACAAGGCTTTCTCTCTCTTTCTTCAAACACCACAATGTAATAATAAAAAAAAAAACCGAGAAAAGAAAAAAAAGCCAGTTAGACACTTTGAACAGACGGTGCAGCTGTTGTTATTTTATTAGTATGAATCAATAGATTTCTCTGTTACTTTTTTCTTTCTGGTGTCCACATAACCGCAAAATAGTGTACAAAAAAAGAAAAATATAAATTTCTTCTAGTAATTGATGGGATTATTTTTTTTTTTTTTTACTTTTCTACATCCATTAGTTTTTATAAAGAAAAAAGAAGAAGAAAAGGTCGACTTTTTTTTTTCTTATTTGCAATTTGTTTAACCCTATACCCATTATAGGCTGTACAGGGACATAGCGCTCATTAAAAATAACTTTACAAAGAAAGTAATTAAAGTAAATCACACATATAAAACAATGAGAAAAAGAACATGAGTCATGAACAACCATTTCGAAGAACTAAATTATCTTGATATGTGAGCAGAACACATCGACTATCGATGAATGAATAGTTTAAAACAGGAGGGAAAGAAAACCAGAATAATACAAACCTTGTGTTATAGTATGGGAGATTTGAACATGATGATGCTGGTACACAAGAGTTGAACACTTCAGCTAATTTGTTATTCCTTCTTCTCCTGAAAAGATTTACCTTTACGTTATTTATGTCCATTTTAAAAAGACGTCTAAACAATAGATATGATTGATTTACTGAGATAAAATGTGTATTATTTTTTTATTGTTAATGAATCGTTTTTTTTATTTTGTTTGTGAAAAACGGGGCCAACTTGATCGTCCTATAACTTTATGTCGATTGATAAGATTAATGTATAATTCAATTTATTAGGAAACGAAAAATACATAGATATATTATTTACTGGTTCTGATAGCTATTGTATATAATCAGATTAAATGACAATATGGAAAGTGATACATGGAATTAGGTTGTCGTCTCCCATACAGTATAACTATCGTATAGACTGATTAAAAGACTAAATCACGCATAGTCTACCATCTTAAGAATAAAGGCACTTTGATATACATAACAACTTCATAGGATAAATTTTTAACAGAAAATTCTTTTGTTTTTTCTATTTATGAGGTAAAAGCGCTTCTTGTTTCAAACTTAACTACTTACATCAAAACAATATAAGATTCAAACGATATGTGGTGTCACCTATGATGGAATAGTCCAAATTTTCCAGACAAGGCTGAATTGTATTAAAAAGGATGTGTACACTGAAAAATAAAAAAGAATTTCTATCTAAAATTTATTCAATAAAAGTATTCTCTGTTTCAAAGTATATGTATTAGTAAATCGCGATGTTAATTATATAGGTGAAACTTATTCGTAAATGTTGAACTTCGTACGTATTATTATATTTGAATTATAACTGGGTTTCTTGTTAGTACTACTCAGCCAAATGCAAAAGCTTGAAAAACGCGTGTATTTGCAGGAAATTTTCAGAAAGTGATGTTTACATGCAAAATAGTTTTCAAGTTGTCGTATTTCATGCATGGAGACGTAAGCTACTTCAAATATTTGCAATTGTTGCGCATAAATGCAAGATAATAGCACACGCATAGACTTGCATGTCGTAAGTAGAGTCGGTCCGGTTTGACTCGGACCCGACCAAATCCGGGTATAAAAATTTTGAGTCATTCGGGTCAAACTCCAGAAATTTCGAACCCAATGGGTTCCTCACACAAAGATTAATTAATGAGGTTCGAATCCCAAATTTTGACCGATCGGATCCGGTTTCGGATCCAAAAAATTTTGTCGGCCAGGTCCAGGTTCCACAAATTTTAATTGGTCGGCTCCAGGTCCGGGTCCGAAAATTCTTAGATCTGATAGACTACAGTCGCAAATACGTGTATGGAAATGCAATTTTTTTCTATTTTTTAAGCAGAATTTGTCGGACCGTCCATGACTCTTATCCTTGCAAATAATTACATACAATAGTCTCGTGTGTTTATGCAAGACAGAGTTGGAACCGGTCCGGTCGGACCGGATCGGACAAGAAGTTAAACCGACCTGGACGGGACCGGATTTTTCCCAGTTCATCATTACAAAATTGTTGTTTGCATCCAAGAATTTTCTCTACTAAACCGGTGTTTTTATGAAATTTTCAAGGTAGAAGAATGTGTTTGCGAAAGATTCAATAGATATCTTGTCTTTAACTTGACCATAAACGATTGATTGTTCTCTTTATAGCTCTATCGATTTCTTTTTCGCGTATCGCTCAATTTAATCTAGATTAAATAATTTATTTTCTTATTCTACTTAGGTAACTGTCTGAATCAAGAAAAATCAATATTTACGACTTTGTGTTAAATTTGTTATAAACTTACTCTTTTTCCTTTTTTGAGATTAAGACGGAAAAATAAATTTGATCTAAATAGCTAATTTATATCGACATCGGACTCGAAACGTTGACGCACCTTGCTATAAAATGTGATGATGCGAGTTTCATTCCCCAGTTTTAGTTTCCAGTTCGGATTAGAGGTGGCGATTTCTTGTTAATTTATTTTAAATTTAAACTTTTGCAAATTTAAATTTAAAATAAATTCAACTTTTTCAGATATGAAAATTTAAATTTATTTGAAATGTCAATTTTAAAAAGTTAAATTTATTTAAAACTCAAATTTTGTAAATTTAAATTTATTTTAATTTTAAACTGGATTCTATTTGGTTTAAATTGAATTAATATTGATTTAAACTGGATTTAAATAAATTTAAAAAATTTATGTAAATCCAATTTAGATTTAAAATAAATTTAAATTTACAAAATTGATTTTTGGATTTATCAAACTTTCGTAAATGTAAAGTGATCACCCCTAGTTCGGATTTCCACATGTAAATATTCAATTCCCTCCCGCTACCATTTTATGTGAATAGATACTTTCATGGGCGGTGATTTTCGCCGGTTTTTTGCCAGTTTGGCTGTAAAATTCAACCGGCCGGTTGCTGGTCAGACTGGACCGGATCGGATCGGATAGAAAAAAACTGTCCGGTTCCAACCCTGATGCAAGATATATGACTCACATCTAAATCCCAAAGTATTATCAGCCAGCACCTGAGATATTTTTAATGTCCATTTCAAAATAAAAGGCGAGTGGTTGTTTTTCGACTAACTCCTCAACGGAAAGAGTTATCGGTCCGCGATTTTCACCATTAGAAGGAGACTGACATTCTGCATCCTTCTATGTACTAATTAACAAAATTAGCTCATAAATCTGATGAGTAGTCAATGAAATTCAAAGAAGTAATGAAAATACTTTGAAAAATATATAGAATTTCAATTATAAAGAGTGCATTAGATTCATCTACTCAAGATCTATAACTTTGCATAAACTTGAAATTTATATTTTTTATCATTCAAAAGATATATACTCAACAATGATCGTTAAAAATGCTTGACACAACCTTTCGTAAATTCTTTTCAAGTTTGAATAGTTCTATGTCTATTAATGAATAGTTGGGTTTTCGATTATTTTCAATAGAATGCAAGTGTTCATATTGTAATGAAATCATTCTTTGTTATGTAAAAGCAGTGCTAATTACTTTAGATGATCTTAACTTTGGCCGAAACGAAAAATGTCGAAAGTAAAATTATCGGGTACGGATGTAGGGTATGGGTGTGAAGTGTGAGAGTGGGTGAGGGTGCCGTTGTGGACGTGTGTGTGTTGGTGAGAGTGTCAGTATGGATGGATGCAAGTGCGGATATTGTTGAACAGAATACCCATCTCCATATTCCACACTCGTGTGCCAATGACTTCTTCATGAACACTTTTTCGAACGAACATCTTTCCACAATTCAAGTTTTCAACTTGTAAATTTTTCGATATGAAAAATTTACAAGTTGAAAGCTAGAAGTATCTTGTGAAAGCAGTACAAACTGGTGAAGCTGTATTATTCTATTTTGCAAAACCAACGGTTAACCGCGGTTATTAGTAGGACCACCGGTTATCTATTGCTAACTCTCGATTTCGAGTAGGCGATTGTAATAAGTGATATAGAGTAAGGTAGCATACAACAGGTTTATTTTGAAAAAGACGTAGTAGATAATGGTTAAAGTGATTTGAATGGTTTTTTCTTGGAGGTTTCATGGAGTTTTTCATGGAAAAATATATGTATTTTATATATAATAAACAGAGGTGACTTCTCTCTTTTGCGTTGGAGTACTTATTTATTTTGAAACTATTCAAAATTTATTATTCAGATACATTATAAGAACAGTAAGTATATTGCAAGGTATAATATGCATATCTTTTATTTCAGGTGACATTGTATTGCATGTTTTTGGCACAGCTATAATGAGCTAAGTTGATTTTGTCTAAGTAGGCGCTCAATTTTTAATAAAAATACATATTGTGTTGATGTTCTTGTGTTTACTGGTTTAAAAGATATTTCTAGGATTTTATTTCAATTTTAGATTTTCGCATTTTCTATATGTCTGAAAGTGTTTTTATTCCCATCGAATGATAGAAAAATGCAAGCGATGTTTACCACTATTAGAAAAAAAGTGTTCATTTTTCAGGTATTGCAAGTAATAGTGAAGATAAAAATGATCATCATATGCAAGATAAGCAACACTCGCCATCAATAATAAATGATGGTTCTTCATTACTTGATGATGATGCATGTGATTATCAAGAGTATCATGATGATGAACATGACGACACAAAAACAGCTATTGATATTGAATATTGTTTTCTTGATCGATTTCCACCACTCTATAATGGCAGCAGAGCATTTAGCATGAAGTCGATGAAGTTGTTAATGGACTTTCTAATATCTGATGTATGTTTAAATAAACAAAATATTTTATGTTTATTAAAATTGATTAAATTTCTATTATCAGAGCTCGATACATTACCTACAACTTTGAAATCTATCATAAAATTATTTGAACGTACAAATTTGTCATCTACAACATTCTTATATTTATTGTGTCATGAATAATGTGCTAAAACAACGTTTAACACAAAAATATGTAAAAATGAAATCTGTTCATATTCAAAAGAGATCATTAAGAGCAAATGAAATTGTAAAAATAGTTAGTCTAGATGTATGTAATCAATTAAAATGAATTATCAATAAAAACAATAATATATTAACACAAAATGAAAATTATTTTCCAACATCTGATATATCTAATAGTTTTTTCTATCAAAGAACAATATCCAAGTCAAAATCCAACACGATCATGTTATTTTTGTACATAGATGGTTTACTTTTAATGCGCACCACAAAACAGTCAATATGGCCATTTTTTTCTTCTGTAGCTGAGATTCTTCTTCCGCTGAGAAAATATCAAAACAACATTATTCTTTTGGCTTTATGGTCTTTCTAAAATAAACCTGACGTTATAATGTATTTTTAAAGAAAACAATGTAAGTTTATCAGTTGATTAAATATTCTTGTTTTTCTTTGTACAGTAATTGTAATCGATTCTGTCTAATTTAAGAAAGATTATATTGTCGTTTATTTTTCATTTTCTAGAGACGAAATAAAATTTTTAATAACTGAAGGTACTTCATTCTTCATTAATGGTATAGAATTAAACTTTGTTATTCGTACACTGTTTTTTAAATCTGATCTACGAGTACGATATTTATTCTTACAAGCAACTTATTTTAATGGATATTACACATGTCATTATTGTGTGACAAAAGATATGTATCAGTATATTATTTTAATGATGTAAGTGCTTGTATCGCTATCACATCAGCTAATGAATTATCTGTATTGCCCTCTTAGAGATGTGAATCCGAAGTCTAAATAAGTAAACTTTTCCAGGTCTGTTCAGTCTATGACAGAGTAGGATCCTCTCCAGGCTGTCTGCGCCTATTATTACTTTTTTTTGGCTTGATCTGCCTACTTGTGTAGACCTGTATTTTTTTTCAACATCAATATGAAGATGATAGCTAAATAGTAATAAATGAATCTTCATACAATGCGAACGAATCATCTAAATTAATAGAAGGTAATAACATTATACGTGTATTAGCTGAAAAAAGTATGTATATATGAGGAAAATAATACATAACCAGAAAAGTAGCTATTACTTAAGAGTATATTAGATGGATCTGGTTTAAAAAAAGGCATCTTTAGTATCTAAGACAAGAGATAAACATTTAGTGGATGGCTCAGTCTTTAATGGAAGAAATGTAATTCAATCTGGCTGACGATATTGGAATGAGAAAAAGCTACATGCTAAAGAATATTTTAGTAGATAAACCATGGGGGAAACAGCTGATTCGAAAATTCCGGCATTCCAGGGATTCTGCTGCTCGGAATCAATTATTTCCTCCTGGAATTTTTTCCGTTATTGTAAGAACGGCCGATGGTATTGTTCGTGTCGATTATAAGTTTTCAAAGGTCCTCTTTAATTCACCCCAAACAACCCAATGTGATTTTCTAACAATGAGGAAGAACGAGACATGAAGGTGGCGAGGAGGGATGGGTATTTTGATCATAATTTTTTTCCACTATTGTAAGGGTGAAATAAAATGTAGGCTGCGTCGATTACAGGTTTTCAAGAGTCCTCGCTAATTCGTCTCGAACAACCCACTGTTGTCTTTTAATAATAGGGGAGAACACAAAGGAATTCCAGGGACTCCAAGAGATTCTACCGGCTGGAATTCTGCTGTTTCTCCTTTGAGTCGAGCGGCGTTCGACAGTTGGATATGTTTCCTCGTTACTATTAAACTGGACAGTAATTCAATCTCAGAAATTCTCATGTTTTGACTAGTATTCTTTCTCTCTCAATTTCACTGTTAGACGCAAAAAAAAAAGATTTTCTTTACAAGTTGTCAATTATAATTACTTAAGTGAAAAAAAAACAGACTGTATGTAAAAATACAAAGAAACAAACAAACAAAAAATAAAAACAAATCTTCAAACAGATATTTTAATATGAGCTTTACTACTATCAGGACAATAATACATTTTATGTGCATCATAAGAAGTTTTATGTTGAAATAAAATTTGACATGATGAACAATACGTATCACTTGTTTTTGTTTTTTTAATATATTTTAGTACTTCATTAGTTGATGGTCGTGATGCACAATAATTCATCATATGTTGTTGTAATGTATCAATCCTACTAAATTTAATACAACAAAAAGGACAAGATAAATTTTTATGAATTAAATTTGTATCTATTGATTTCCTAAGAATCTTTTGAATGAGATTCATAGAATTTGATGATTGATCATCTTCATCTAATAAACGTTCATTTGATTTTATTTGTTGATCATTTTGTTCATCATCATCATCATCACCCTTTTTTATATTTGTATGTACTAATTTCATATGTCGAGTTAAATTCCATCTCGAACTAAATCTTGATTGACATTCTAAACATTCACATAATGTTTTATTTGTATGTACATTAATAATATGATTTAATAGTATTTCTTCATAATCAAACATTGCTGAACATATTGTACATTTTAATAATAATTGACTTGTTCGTATTGGAACAGTTAAAGAATTTATTGTTGATTTTACAATAATATCATCATCGGTACAAGATTCATTATTTGATAAATGAAATTTAAAATGCATACGTATTCCACGAAGAGTATTTCCTTGATATTTGCATAAACGACACATAAATAGAAATGAACGATTTATTGGATTTAATGAATCATTTGAAGGAGATTTTGATGTGTTCGATGAAAATACTGGAGGTGATGGAGATCTATTTAAAATAAGAGAAATATTATTTGAATCAACAATATTGAAATATTAATTTTCATGGCATAGAATGATCTATTAATCATGATAGGATAGAAACCGTTCAAGGTTTTGCTATGAGGACACAATTACAAAAATATTTACCTTAGTGAATGTATTGGATTCAATATACTCGAAAGAGCATTCTACTATAAGTATGTAACAGGAGCTTTTGAATTTTTCAGTACTTGATCCCAGAACACTTTTAAATGTTCAATCGACTAATTTGTTGAGCAATTTTTCTTACAATACTATACAATTTTGACAAACGTCTAAGCAGATACCTAGTTAATATAGATGTACTAAAACAATGCTTAGTAGAGTACTCGACTACGATTCTGTGATACACTGGTAACAGAATATTTTTTCGGGTATCCTGCTGAAGATTACTTCAGTACACAGGTCTTCTGAACTCAGTAGATTTACTAGTGTAGACTTGAGGATATTCCCTTCTTTGGACTATTTCTGGTTTTCTGCGAGAGTACAACCAGTCGGACTCGAATTTTTACTACAACTAGATTATCGAAAATGAGCGGATCTTCAAAATCCATCGAACTTGCTTAACACTTCGGTCCTACTTTGCTCGATCGGGCTGAAATGTTTTCTGAAGGTACCTGGAACAAAATCTCAGAGATGTTTTTAAGCTTTTTGAAAAATATCAATTTCTCGATTTTTAATTAAAAAAACGAGAAGTATCAGCGCCAAAACCATTTTTCCAGCTGGTACTTCCTCAATCTTTTCCAATTGAAAATTGAGAAATTGTTTATTTTTCAAAAAGCTTAAAAACATCTCTGAGACTTTGTTCGAGGTGCCTCCAGAAAATATTCCAGTCCTCTCGAACAAAGCAAGAGCAGGCCCAATGAGATTCTTTCAAAAACTTTTCAAGATCTGTTTTTCAAATTTTTTTTTCCATTGATCATAGATTCTATCATTTTCGATAATAACAGCTGTAGTAAAAGTTTGAGCCTGATCAGCTGTATTCTCGTGGAGAACCAAAAGTAGTCGAAAAGAGGAGGGGATGCTCTTAAGTATTTGACAGCTTCTAGAAAATTCATTGTTATTTAATTTATCTCAGAAAGTACGATCATCGATTTTGAAGATCATAAAACTGACTCTAATAATTGTCAATGTGTTTGCTAAATTAGACTATTATATTTTAGATTTAGATGATCGATCAGCTTCACTATCATCAGGACTTTTTTTGAAAGAATTATACCAAAATAAATAACGAATAATAAAATTTTAAGATTTGTTATGCATATTAGTGTTACGTTGATATCATAACTATTGGCAACAACTCTTTGAAGATCACGTTTAAATTGAAGAGTCTATACGTTCTAATCATTACTTTTCTCAATGTTAATATTACAAAAAACATCTCCTTTTTTTTTTAATATTCAAATTTTTGTTTAGATTATTTTGCGATTCTTACCGATTATTTTCAATAATATCTGTTGATAGATTATTATGATCTTTTTTGTTTTGTTTTCGATATTCAATACAATAGTTATCTTGATGTGCATGTAAAGTTTTTAATGAACGAAAACATATAGAACAATATTCACATCGATAAAATTGTTGTTGAATAATTTTTTTCGTTTTTTCAGTCGATAAATCTAATGGTAAATTTGTTGAAATAATTGATCTTTCATATTCATCATTGATTTTTTTCGGTTTACTTAAATCTAATGGTTTACTATCATGATGTGAAGTATCAATTTGTGAAGAAATAACAGGTATAGGAACATAAATAAATTGTTCAATTTGAACTGGACGATTAAATGGTATTGATTTATTCTTTAATTTACAAGAAGATGATTTTGTTTTACAATAATATAATTTATGTTGAATAAAATTATCTGTCTTAGAAAATAAAATGTTACATTCATGACAATAAGTATCATTTGATAATAAAGATAAGCGTTTTGTAGACGTTGACGACGAATCAATTATATCAGTAGATTTACGTTTTATGCTTTTTATTCCAACCTCAATAGTTGAATCTATAAAGAATAGGTATGCATTTTGTTTTATGGCAATGAATGGCCTTTATTCTATAGAAGATTAGATATACTTTTATCTATAAAACATATTTACCTGTTGAGTGACTTTTTGTTGTTTCGCGTTTCGTACAATAATGTCGACGATGTGCATGTAATGTATTTCGATTACTAAATCGAACTCCGCATGTATTACATATAAAAATAAGAGCTAAGAAAAAAAGAAAACAATTAGAAATAAAATTTTATTCATTTGAAAAACAAAAATCTTACGATAATGTTTATTAGTTGGTGATTCAATTTTCATTTCAATTTCTTTTGGTTCGTTTTTTATTTGAGTATCTTTATTCATATTTAATTTTGGAAGAATAATTTTATTCAAACAAAGATTTGTACCAATTGATATAGATTCTTTAGTAGTTATAAGTAGTTGATTATCTAATTATATTATATAAAACATATATTAAACAAAACAAAACAAACAAACAAAAATATATTTATTTTACTTTCAAAAATAAGATTTAAGTTTATTGAAGAATTATTCAATATTGAACAATGAACAAGCCAGTTATGTTTAATATCAAGTAACTGAAAACATTCTATTCCATCTTCAATCTATGATAAAATGCAAAGCAAAAAAAATAAATCTTAACATTTTATCTTTTTTTTTTTTGACTCAGTTATTCCAACAGATAAGAGCGGTCCGATATTCCTTGTCTTTATCGTCCCTCTCTCTCTCTCTCTCTCACTCTTTATTTCATCACTATCATCCTATCATCTCTCGACACATAGATAGAAAAAATGAGATAACCAGGCTTGCATACATACACATACGGCCATTGAATTGGAATGAACGATAAGAAAACGAGAAATAATCCATAGATTATTTATAGATTTTTCTTTTTTTTTTATCGGTCATTTTTTAATCTTTTCATACAAGATTGATAACATAATTCGAAAACTTCATTTTAGGATTTTGTTGCATAAGAATATATACGTGAAAGATGTAAGCACGTACTTGTAAGATGGCAGGAAATGGACCAAAACAATGATCTTGTTTAAGATTCATTCGAGCAATTATATGATTTGACTAAAGATTTCAAAATATTTACAAAATTAATATGAATGAATTTTGTTTTTTAAACTCACCCCTTCGTCATATTCAAGTTCATTGGGTAGATCAAATAATATTTCTTCACCTTCTGTATTATAGAATAAAAAAAAAAATTGAATCAAATATGAACAAACAAAATAGAATCTTGATTTTATTGTTTACCTTTTAATGATTTTGGATGAAGTTGTTTACGACGAGACATGATCATTGAATACGCCTAAATTTGAAGCACATGTAAGAAAAAAAAAAAAGAAATACAATTTGATCAATTATAGATATGCATAAATTGACCATTAAAGGAATATCGAAAAGATGGAGATAACGAAAAAAAAAACAATATGTTCAGTATATTGAAAAAGAATTCGATCTTCTAATCTATCACATTCCGTTTATTTTAACTTTTTTTCTTTGCCTCTTTATTTCGTTGGAGATAATATTAAGATATGCATTTCATAAGTGGCTGTATGAGGGGGCGAGAGCATAAAGATAGGCAACATGTATAAGATAAGGTACTGATAAGAAGACAAGCATAATAATTAAGGTATGAATGAATAATTTAGAATTAATAACTAACTCAGGTGGGTTGTTTTTCGACGTAATAACTCGTTAATAATATATTTAGATTTCTATTATTGATTATTTTTGTTACTAAACTGAAAAATATTAATGACGAGAACGATAGTGATTGAGAAAGTATATACATATAAAGAAGAGTGATCAACATTTCATATTGAAACTGGTTTTTTTTTTGTTAAGCAGTACCTGATTCTCTTACATCGGTGAGATAAGCGAGTCTGTGATTGAAGTCAGTATATATACAAAAAAGAAAAGAAATCGAAAAAAAGAGAGAACAGGTTAAAATCACTGTGCCGATATTTTTTGTCATTCACTTATATGTGATGAAGAGATAAGCCTTTGCACATATCCATAAAAAAACCTTTTCTCTTTTCGCTTCATTTTTTTTTGGCCATTACTAACAACGCTGCGAAATTGCAACATTGCCGTTTCCTTATCTTATCGGTGCATCGATCATCATGAGAGAAAGAAAAGAATCGAACTTACCTAAACAACTAAATGAAGTCTATCTTTTACATGGAATATATATGTATATGCTCTTTTTACAACACATGCACTTCTAATTAGAGAAGCACAATGTGTGTTTATGTTACATTTCATTTAAAAAAAAATAAAATTACCATCTATCAAAAATCATATCACTAAGTAATCGAAGAGCATGATAGACACCATCATCAACACCAGTAATGTTTGAATGAAAATCATTGGAACGAAGAGATATGGACGAATGATTGACATATATTCAACAAACTTCTGAGATATTTATGATTTGGATAAATTGTACCGAGTGTTTCATAAATAACACGGCGATAAGAAATTTAAATATCTCTATTGCGGCTCAAGAAAACAAGCTGATTGTTTTATCATTGATAGACACATGTTCAAAGAAAGACATGCCTAGACAGACTCTTTGTTAAGTATCACTAGTGACCTCAACAAAAAAAATTTTACTTTTTCACACATAGAAAAAAATAATAATATATTTAACAAAGGATGTTTCTAGGCATGTCTTTATGAATATAAAACTTGAACATGTATCTATTATTAATAGAAAAACCAGCTCGTTTACTCGAGTCGCAGTGAAGATATTGAATCTTTTTTTTTCGGCAAAGTGACTTTTATGCCATAGTTTATATTATTTTTTGCTTATCTGTGAAAAAGTAAAATTTTTTTTGTTGAGGTCAATAGTGATACTTAACGAAGAGTCTGTCTAGACATGTCTTTATGGATATAAGCTTTGAACATGTGTCTATCAATGATCAGAAAATCAGCTCGTTTTTTCGAGCCGCAATAGAGATATTTAAATTTCTTATCGCCGTGTTATTTATGGGATACCCGCTAAAATAGAATTGAACATGCAATTCTTAGTTTTTAAATATATTTGTATCAGTTCGACTTGTGTTTTTATTATTATTATTCAATAAACACAACGCACAGCATCATTGGCGTATTGAAACAAGAAAACAAAAAAAAAAAAAAGAAAAACACAAGAAAAAAAAGTACATACACATATGTAGAGACATGCACGAATAAATTAAGCATTCATAAAGCTTACATTTTTTCTTGATACAGTTTCTCTTGATGAGGATCGTTTTAAAATAGATTTGAGCGTTTGATTTGAATTATTATTTCCAGATGGAATACGTTCATGACTATTTATTCCATCTTCTTTTCCGTTATTTATTTGATTTTGATTTTCTTGATCATTGCTAGTAGTAATTGTAACTGGAATTTCCAAATGAAATTCATTTTTATAATTTTCATTATTATTATTATTATTATTACTAGCAGATAATGATTGAGAAATTGTTTCAGTTTGTTGTGACGCTGAATGCGAAGGTACTTGAATTTCATGTAAAACAGGTATATGAAAAAAATTATTTCTTTGTTTTGTACGAGAAGAGGATGGAATTGGTGGTGGTTTCATTGCAGATGAAAGACGACTATCAAGTGAAACAGATTGATTGTTTTTTAAATTTATAATAACACGACGAGATAAACTAGGCGATCGACCATTATTTTCTGATATTAAACTATTTCGTTGTTGTTGAAGTCGTGCAATACCTTGTATAGCTTCACGAGCCATAGCTTCAGCTCGACGTATAGGTGATATATTTGAAGATGTAAGAGTTGAATCAGATGATGATTGTTGAGAATTATTATTTGTTAATAATGTTGGTGATGATAATGGTTCATCTTCTATATCAATTTTTTGATTTTCAACGGGATTTATTGGTGATGATGAATGAAGAATACCACTTGTTACATGAGAACTATTTGTAGGTATTGAAGTAACAGTTGCTGGTTGTGGAAGATGAATAGGAATTTGTCGAGTAGGTGATGATGGAACTGTTGATTTTGCTGCGTCATCATCAGTATTTGTTGTTGTTATAATTGGTATTGTAAGACTTAAACGACGTGTAACAGAAGGCAAACGTGGCCTACTTGATAATGTTGTTGGTGGTACGTTGTCAGTAGTATCATTAAAATGACGTTGAAAATATTTTGAATTTGGTCGTAACAAATCTTTTAATTAAAAAATAATAATTCTTTAACGATTCTGTTTTTGTTATTTTAATAATGACTTACTAATAAAATTTGGTCTTGAATTTGTATTTTCATTATTATTATTATTATTTCCAGCAACTGGTAATGAAGTTGTTTGACTAATAAAAGTAACCGGTACAGAGCGACTTTGATTATTAGCTGTAATAGGCGTGCCATCCTCTCTGGTTATTGGTATCTGAATAAAATCACGCCTATTCGGTGGTATTGTTCGATTATTGGTAACAAGCGGAATGAATGTTGATTTAAAAGATCCATAAGGATTAATAATAATATTATTATTATTGCTCGTCGTCGTCACTGTCATTGTTGGTTTTGATATATGTCCATCGAAACTATTTCGTGTTAAAAGTGAATCAGTATTATTTGTAGCACTATTTGGAACTATTCGCGAATAGTGATACCGTGGCATCAACTTTGTTGTCGGAATTGACCCACGTTTTTGATTATTTGTTGATTGGTCAGAAGAATTTGTTATATTAGGATGAGACGGACGACGAATAACATAGTAAAGCATCGACGACGACGACGAGCATCACAGGTGTTGATGATGATCTTCTGAAATCCTATATAATACGTATTAATGTTTGCCAACAAATGAATCGACGTGCTCACGGATACAATCGAATCAGTGGTAGTAAAGAGCAAAAAAAACGAAAATTATGCTTCAATACGGAAGCTCTATAAAATTTTTCAATCAAAAAAAAAAAAATTTTTTTTTCTGTTCTCTCTTAATCATACTTCGTCTTTTTATTCGACATGGAAAACATACCTATAGAGATGTAAGAAAAAAGAAAGAAAGAAAGAAAGAAAAAAAAACGAGACATAAATACAATAACCTTTTCCTCAAACTCATTAAAATTCAACTTTTATATTCAATACCTTGATATTCTTCTCTTTAATTTTAGTTATTTGCACTTAACTATGAATATTTGATAAAAGAAAGTACCTATTTTATGATGAGACAAAAACAGATATTTCATGCAACCTCAAAAAAAAAAAAGAAGAACGGAAAACAAAACTAACTTGATATATAAGATTATGCGTATATCGCACCTATCTACTAATAATACAAGCGAAGTATTTATTATATCGAGTTTAATTAGAAGTAGATTATTTTTACCAATATCACCATTCGCAAATATTATTACTGACATCATGATATAACGTTTGATGCATAGTGATATTAAATAAAGTGCACAAAGGATTTGACGATGTAAGAAAGCAAAAAAAAAAGACGCGAGTTGCACATAAATAAGACAACATATATGGAAAACGAGTGGGAGCGTCTGTCTCTTTGATTATACTATCGTTGTCTATGTATGTATAAGAAAAGCTTCTGCTCCTGATAGACTTTGCTCATACGACAATTGGCAATGAAGATTACCAAGGAAAAAGATAAGAAAGAAAAGAAGAAGAAAAGTTGTTACTTATTATGTTGACGTACCAAAGTAGCAGAGAGAAAAAGGATCTAGATCTTTTTCTAAACATGCGATCAAGGACAAAGACGGGCAAATGCTTGTCTTCGTATATACATAGCTACAAAAATATCAACATTAGTCTAATACACAAGAATACAGAAAGAAGGAGAAGAAGAAAAAGAAGCCTTTTTTGTCTGCTTTTGCGTTTATATATAAATACATATATATTATCACCTGTCAAAAAAGTGTCTTTAAAGAATATACAAAAATGATTTTATTCTTTTCTTCTGTACTTATTGAATGTTCATTGAATTTATTTTTTTTTCTATTTATTAATGGAATCATTTTTTGATATTTAAATAATGTTATTGCAGAGAAATATTCTAGTTTCTTATTTATTGTTCTTGTTTACGAGTGACACAAATAGCAGAGAAAATTAATGTCCTTGTTATTGAACATCTGGTAATTATATATTGTCTAGAAGATAGATCTTTAACAAAGAAAAAAAATAAATAAAAGCATTATTCTTCAAAAAAACAACAATAGGATAATGACGTCGTTGTATTTCACCTTCAATATTAATGAACGAAGTTGATGACGCGAACCAGACAAATATCCTACGCAAAAGTTTGCTTATCTAACCTTGGTCTATATGACAAATATATACGGATATAATCATCAATTTGGCTAAGAAAAAAAATTGTGTCATCTTAATGGTATCTGCAGGTATTTTGATTAATGCATATGTATATAAATATTGTTGTGATGAAAACATATTGAAATGAATATATTATTTGAAATTTATTTCGTTTGATTTTTCAACAATATTTACACAAGAACTTTTTTTTTTTCTTTTTAATTTAAAATGATCATTGTAGAATTATAATTATACATTTATAATGAAATTAACAACGAAGTTAAATATTTGATATAAATATAGTTCTAATTGCATAAGTTCATATCTATTAATGTGCTCGTTTTTAATAAATAAGATCGAATAGAGAATCAATAAAAATTCAATAATCTAATGAATAATTAAATAAAAATATAATATTCGACGTATAATAAGTTTAAAAACAATAATAAGAATTCGATGAAAAGTTAATTGATACTTTCAACAATACACATATTAATATTGATGAATGCTAAACATAGTAGAGAATATAAAGATATGCACCTAAAATGAACAAAAATTAAAATATAAGAAATAATAAACTAATTAGAAAACATTTTGTTTTTCAATTTATCATTTGCTTTTGTACGAAATTTTACATGGGTATTTAAATCCATAACATTGCTATTTATCATCAATCAATGAATAGGAATAAATTTACGAAGAAAGTTATCCATTTTTATTGTCTATCTGACAAATCAAGGAGAAACAAACATTTATAAATGGTGTAATCTTCCAGTTCTTATCATCATGTTTGAATAAATACATATGTCGATAGAAAGCAAAAAAATCATCGAATATTATTCAACAAATGAAAACTTAAAGACAATTTCATAGAAACAATAAAATATATACTGAAGATTTTTTCTCTACCCTCAAAAATGAACAATTAATCTCAACTTCAGATAGAAACCTAATTTCCAATGAATAATCAACCTTGATATTTATATATATATATATATATTAAGATAGAATATGTTAATAGTCAGTTCGTCTTTCATTTTCTGCAAGGAAATAAATGGATAGAGAGAGTACACTGTGACATTATGTCAAGTCAGCTAACTCGTAAATATTTACTGTTAATCAAATATTCATTATAAGAAATTCTTTTGTATTCCAATAATACATTTGGATATGATGTTTGTTAATGATGCATATTTATTGTCATAGAAGAAAAAAGAGAAATTTTTCTCATTATTACTCAAAAATACTAAATAGTTGAAGTTTCTTAATCATTATAAAACATAAATGTGAATAAATGATACTAATTGATATTTTTTCTCAATGGCATATTAACAATGAAATTTATCGTACCTTCCAAAAATTAAGTAAATTATTAGAAAAATATTCATAATTCGAAATGCAAAAAATTACACTAATCTCATTTGTATTGTATTCTCAAATTACGAACACTTTTTTTTGTAATTATCAAATAAGCAACAGATTTAATTAGAATGAAATGTTTGTCGATTGTGTCTTCTTGATTGTCGACATTTTTTCTTAATTGGAAGAAAAAAATGTCCGCAAAATAGAATTGGAAAGAGACAAAAGTAGCCACACGTTGGGAAGTGTCCGCAATACAAAATAGGTGGGAATTAGAGAAAAATATGGATGCATTGTGGAAACATGCAAAAATCGATATAATAAAAGGATCAGAGTAAGTAGTTCAATTTAAGAATGAATATTATGGTGTAGGTCTTCTCTTCAGCCGCACCCACCAAGATCCACCCACATCCACATTATTTTTAAAGTAATGGCATGAAAACAAGATTTAAAAATACAGATATAAAAGCACTCGGATTTTCAAGTCTTAAACTATACAAGCAATTACTTAGGGTTATCCAAAAGTAGTGATAGAGGTTCTTTTTTTTTCTTATAGAAAGCTTGAAAAAATGTTCTTTTTTATGAATAGATAGAGCATCTTTCTATGCTATTCGACCGCTATTAAACTAATATCATAATAATAAAATTTCGATAAGAGCTTTTTTTGTTGAAAACCAGCTGGTAACATTTAGTTCATAATGAGTATGGTATTTTTGCATTCCACTTTATTATCACATAATATGTTGTATTGAAAAAACAAAATATACCAGAAGATGCAGCGTGAAAAGCTCTACAATTTACAAAGAACAACTATACAAAGATAA